CTTAACTTGCTGTCTGGGGCATCTCAAGGATCTCAGTATAATAAACAGCAGCCTTCTACCACTTTACTGAGGTTACGAAAGGAATAAAAACACTATTAGTTCATCACTCGAGTAAGAAATGAATGAAGATATGACTTTTGCAAGTAATTTCATCAGGTGTAACATTTTGTGCTTTAGTTTGCATTATGGTTTAATAGCAGCAATATTATTATCATTGGTGTAGAAATGTTTTGAATGGTTTGTGTTCTTTCATGCAGAATGAAGGGAATGGTGAAGTTTGTGAGGAGATTTGTAATGCAGAATGTCTCTGTACAGCCTTTGAGAAAAATTATCAGGCTACTGGAATCATTGAGTCCTACGAGATCTGAAGCGGACCTTCTCTTCCTGCTTCCTCTCCTTCAACCTGGTCTGGATTCTGTAATGAGCATGGCTGCCTTTTTGTGGCCTCCTGCAATGCCTCTAATGCCAGGTTATGCATTGCACCACATACCATTACAAAGCAAGAAGCTCTTGCTGGAGTATGTTACAGACAATTCATTGATACTGACTGAAAAGTTGAAACTCCGTCTCAGCCTTTTTAGGGTGCATTCAGTAATTATCCTGGTGATCCCCTAGCTACAGTGCTATGTTATACCTGGTACTAAAACAGTTTTGGGTTAAGGAGGGGTGTTTTTAGCCATCTCTATGGAGATTAATCCCCTCCTCCAGTAGCCATCTATTACATTCTGAAAGTGTAGAATTTTAGGGGATTGTTGGGTGCAGAATAAATGATATCATTACCTAGGTATAGACATACATGATGTTTTTATAATTTTCTACTAATTGAATATGTTAGTTTTTTCTGTTGACAGTTCCAATTGGTGGAGTCCTGGTGTCCCAATCGCACTATGTGTGCAGCCAATTAAATTTTGAAGTTGAGAAAATAAAGCCACTAGTGGAAATCTGAGATTTCTCCTGTTGGCTTTTGAGGTCAAAAGCAAAAGTAGTCTACTGATCAATCTTGGTAGATGCCAAGTCAGCAAACTGGTTGTGTCCTTTGTTGTAGACTGGAAGCACCAGCAACAGCAACGTTAAGGCTGTAATGAATTTGAGAGCCCCTGTCAAAATACAGTTTATGTATCTGGCAGGCAGTAGATTTTGTTGTAGAAGGCTACAGAGGTCTATGATAACCTGATTGGAAAACATAGCCCCCATCGAACACTGCTCTTCCACTGGTTTCAAGAAAGTGCCTGGCTTGGGCATCCCTAATAGGAGGGTTACTTCACATCTGCAGCTTTCGAAGATTCCTTGCTCCTTGTTTAGGCAGCTATTTCTGTTGTATTTCCTCTTTCAATTTTTCTTTTCTGCATATGAAACTAAGTATAGGTAAACCCATAATTAAGAAAAAGGGATGCTAATGCAGAATAAATGGGCAAAAAGCAATCTAGAATCTGGATACTTTCCCAGGAAACCATGCAAGTAATAGGCAATGACTGTCTCCAACAAGAGGGAGTCTAGACATCTCCTCATTACTGTCTACACTGGGAAACCCTTGAATAGAAACTGAATTGGACCAGCCATTTAAATACTGTAGCTACAACAAACTGGGAATTCTGTGATGAAAACTCACAACTCACTCACTGAAATCTGTTCACCATCTACAAGGCACAAACAGAATAGAACAAGGCACAATGACAGACTACTCTCCACTTGCCTGCATGAGTGCAGCTAAAAACTACTCTAAAGGCTCAACACCATCCTGCACAAAGCATCATGTTTGATTGGCATCCCATCCACCACCTATAATTCACTGTCTCCAGCAATGGCACACTGCAACAACTCACCAAAGCTTCTTGGACAGCACCTTCCAAACCTGCAATCCTGACCAATCAGAAGCACAGGGACAACAGATACAGGCAAACACCTCCAAATTGCACACTATACTGACTGAGGACTATATTGCTCTACCTGCACTGGTACCAGGTAAAACTCCTGGAACTTTCTTCATAACACAATTGTGGATGTTCAAGGAGATGGCCACACCACCACCACCGCCTTAAGGACAACAGGAATGGGTAGCAAATGCGGAACTTGCTGATGATGCTCACATCTTAGGAATGAATTTTTAAAAAGACAATAACTCAATCTTGCCATCCAATAAACTGCAACTAAGTGCCCCATTTAAGTACATATTCAGTGGACCTGATAAGCCATTCCCACTATAGTTCAGTGGTAGATTAAGGGCTGCCCAAAACTTGTCTCATTTTGAATTAAAATTGGATCTGGGTCCTCAATATATAATAGATGTATACCTATTTATGAAGCTCCAACTGTCTGAGGGAGCAACTTTTCTGAATCAAAAGCTGAGATTTAAATCATGATGGCAGGAAAATGTTTGAGATGGAGCACTAAATGCCAAAAACAAATTTTGTATAAGTTTTGCAACAAGCTTTAATTTTATGCAGTATTCAGCAACAAAAATAAAATACCATGTACCTAGGAACACTAAAGGCAACATTTTCTTCTAGGACATGTAAACAACTAAATAATCTTTCGAAATCATTTGTTGTATTATCAATTAGGTTGTCAACCAACATTTACCACACATCAAGATACAGACCATAAATGTTGGTTGACAGTACATAAAATGTGAATTTGTTAGAACTCTCATTGAGAAATGTGACAAAGAAAATTTTTCAGCTTGAAATGGAAATATTTTCAATGATATACTTTATACTTAATTAACTGCAAATGGAAGTTTGTGATTTGGATATGTCACATTCTAAGAACCACATTTGTATTTACTCCAAGCAGTTTCTTCAGTTTGCAATATGAATTTATAGAGAGCATACACCAAGCAGAAGTTTCATGGATATCACCATTTAATCCTGTCAATGATGGAATTGCTTTGGAGAGATTGTTATGGATAATAGACCTTCTACAGGGTGTTTTCATGTAGTTCATACTTGGAAATCATGATGTAAGTGAAAATACTTTAAGTGAAGCATTGATTCCCTGAGGAATTAATGTTAAAACCAGAATTAGGTTCCATTGCTTTCCTTATCAGAGAAACAAAATCAAAACTTTATTTCTGTACCCTCTAAATTGCAACGCAGTACTTTAAATGCCTGATTTCTGTTTTGGTAAATGAAATAACAGTTAACCTAAAATAAATATAAAAGTATTAAAGAAAAATTTAGCATTCTACTAATAGTAGAGTACTAAACTAGAGTACTTTCTAAGTATTTTGCCTAGGACATTTACCCATCATTCTAAATATGAGATATAATGGAAAGAATAACAATATGCTGTGAATAATTTATCTTTCAATTTATTGAAACACTTTTTTAAAATTAAATTTTTATTTTTGTTCCTGTTATCCATAAATTCTTTCCCTAATGTCCTGGTTGAGTATTCTTGATGTGTCAAATGCCATTTGAATCTGTATTGTGTTTCCCTCTGTACAAGAAAACTCATGGTGATTGATTGACTAGACTGTAATTCTGTTGGTCAAAAGATTAAACCTACTTTCCCTACTGACATGTGGGCACAAAACAAGCACCAACTGAGAGTGTCAAATCTGAGTGATCCTCAGAGCAGCCCATGAAATCCCAAATTGGAGATCTAGATGGGAGACAAGCAGTCAAATGTTTCAGCAACAAAACCAACCCCACTGATTCTTCTAAGCCATTTAGGTAAACCAGTGAGAAGTCCGTAGTACATTAGGGGACACTTTGGCCTAGTGGTATTATTGCTGGACTGTTAATCCAGAGACTAAGGTAATGTTCCAGGGCCCCAGATTCAAATGTAATTGAATGGCAGTGAGGTGGCTGCTCTGCCCCAACCAAGCTGTGCAGCTTACAGTAAAGTAAACTGATTGTGACTAATGTTTTGGCAAATGATGGAAGTTGAATTCAATAAAAATTTGGAATTGAGAGTCTAACAATGACCATAAGCCCATTGTCAATTGTTGGAAAAACCTATCTGGTTCATTAATGTCATTTAGGGAAGGAATCTCTCATCCTTACCTGGTCTGGCCTATGCGTGACTCCAGACCTGTAGCAATGTGGTTCACTCTTAACTGTCCTCTAGGCATTTAGGGATGGGCAATAAATGCTGGCCTAGACAGTGACCTCCTCATCCGTGAATTAATTTTAAAAAGTTTAATACGTTATGGCAGCTTTTACCTAATGCGCTGGAATTAAGTTGGGCATTTCAGTATTCATGATTTCAATGATATTACTGTAGGATATTTGTAAAAACAGTGCAAAATGGCTCATCCTAGACCAATGCCAAGTACTTGTGGTGCAACACTGTGCTACTAATGTAAATACCAAAACGTTAGTCATGATCAGTTTCCTTTACTCTGAGCTGCACAGCTTGGTTGGGGCAGAGCAGCCACCTCATTGCCATTCATTTACATTCAGAATAAAGGTGCTTTTGTGAGCATGAATAAAACATTCATAGTGGGGAAGGGCGTCTGTCTGGAAAGAACATGAATGTCCCCTTAGTTATAATTTACATAGCAGCATACTGCTTACATTAACAGCATATTGAGAAAGGTTGAACACACACTGCAGGCAGGAAGCTTGGGCGTACACACCATGCAGTAATGATTTCATTAGAACAGCCTGTGATTTCTGTGTGTAGATCTTGGAGAGAAGGGGAGAGACGCACAGCAGCACGGTGCAATTTCAACTGACTGAGCCAACAGTATCAGTCAAAGCATTAGGACAGTTAGTGTTCTATAACTGATCTATGAAAAAGTTTTAAATTAGTTGGCTAAATCTTCTTATACTGTATTGTAGAGGTGTGATTGCTTTGGAAAACTCAGCTTTCATTACATACATTTGAAAGATGAAGATTTCTGCAGCTACTAAATTTGAAGAATTGATTAAAAAAGAAGAGACCAGTTGGGAGATACTCAAAAAAAAACACTATGATGTGATAAAGCGGTCTTAATATCTTAACCATTCTGTCGAGTAACAATGTGCCGGATTTCTATCTTTTTTTTGTTATAGCCATCTGGAATCTCTACTGACAATGATGCTCTCGGTCCTTTGCTTGCTGGCTGGGGTAAGTAGTAGTGCTTATTACTTCATTAGGCTGAACTTCTTTTCAATTCTATTTTGGGTTAAATTGATGAATTTTGTAGCAGTGACTGCAACTTATGCCAAACAATTGTAAACCCCCAGAAGCATTTTGTATTGTTTAATAGTTACGTAAATGTTTTGAAATTCAGTGAAGTAGTTTCCTATTCTGTTGCAGAGTACTTGGTTTCTCTGCTAAAAATGTATTTTCTGTCCTGTTTTTCATATATTTAGTAATTCAGCTACGGCAGGCAAGCCATGTGGTCATGAATTATTTAGTGAAAATTACTACTAAGAGTTCTGCTTTGCTTTTCATTTCAACGTTTTCAATTTTTTTTTGTTTTAGATGCTATTTTAATGGGAAGTGTTTATTTGGTGCATAAATTATATATACCCATATGAAGTGAAGTGCAAAAGAAAAACTAAATTGCATCTCTGCAAGAAAAATCCAAATGCTTTGTCATTCATTAAGAAGGACATGCATCAGTAGCCTTAATCCTTTATTGATATGTATTGATACTGATATATTGACACCATAGCACAATTTTCCAAAGACGTATTAATAGACAAGATATTTTGTTATTGCCTTTCCTGGTTTTTTTTGAATGTTGTGCAGTTTGGTTGGCGTTGAACATCAAGTGAATTTACTGATCCCATGCATTGTTATTTGTTGCTGCTGCTGCTTGAGGGTATTGGCAGGCAGATCAGAAGTGTTTAATGTCCAATCATATATTTTTAAAGTTTTCAATCTTGACTCCTGAAAGTTTCAGCTAGCTGATGCAGTTTGGAGATGATTGTCATTTTGATAGGGACAGCCTTTTGGAATTTACTTGGGAACTTCTCAAACCCTGTGACAACAGAAATGAGATGTGATCTTGGACTAAGAGAATCTTCCAAGTCAGCATGGAGAATATTTGTAAATGGATGTTTATTTTAATGATCTATGAGGCATACTACAATTCAAGGCAACTGCTAGTTTATTAGTATGACATAATGCGATGAACCACTTAGGACTTGGGCTCTTCCTAAAGCACATACTCCAAGAATATAAATTTCCTCATGCCCGCTCCCGTACTTTTTAAATTCCTTACAAAATAGGAGCACTTGGCCCTCCCAGCTTAGTAGGGACCTTGCTTTGATTTTCTTTCTAACATTGCTGTCTTTTTCAGTATAAAAGAGCAAAAGAATCATATTATTGTCTCCTGAATGACATGCAAACTTTATAAGTAGCTCCTTGTTGATAATGGACAAAACAAGTCAATTGCCTTACCTTCATTTGTCTCTAAAGCAGTGACTTCTCATTTTGTGATTGGGAATTTTCTAGTCCATAATAGTGCTGCTTTTGTGAATTGGCAACAGGTGATATGATTTAAGTAGGGTACACTGCCAAGTATCGTTGTATTTTTCTTTCAATTTTCCCGTAAAATATGGGACATCTTAGCTCTGATACATCCAGCAGTTCAGCTGTAAGCTGACAGCGATTAGCCTAAACAAACCTAAGCACTTTTATAGGATTTCAGTACTTCCACCTTTTTACAAAAATCTTCATATATATAGTTTTGAGGAAGAATGAATGATTACAGCAACTTTTATGATGACTGCAAAGTTCATAGATGTTTGTATCTTTCAGTAGTCATTTTTCTAATTTACATTTGGAGTTGATTTGCTTTAATTAAAAGCATGAGGGTTTATAAATATTGAATACATTTTAACTTCATTGAACAATAGATCATTGAGATGGATGACAGAATTTTATTAGTGAGTGGGCTGAACCATATATCAATTTAACTTGGTTGTTTTTCTCAAAGCCAAATACGTGTGTTCCACGACGCTAGAAAATCACAAAGTGGATGGCAGGACAGTTCTCTTGCTTGCAGCAAAAGAAAAGCAATAATTCAGTCATTTGCTGGGCTTAGTGGAAGTTATTGAACTTCTCATGATTTTTCTTATGATCCTCAAAGTAGTCATTTGGCTTTCTATCTGATAAATTCCCCATTTCCTCATTATGATAAAGAACAGTTTTATTTAAAGGAAACTATTGGATCTTCAGGTGGTACAGGAGACATAAGTATCAGCTGTGAATTATCTATAATGGCAGGAGAAATGCATTTTTTGAGACTTTTAAACATTGATTTGCCTCATGCATTTCTTCCTTCAAACCCTATTGCCTGAGTCAATCCTTCGGAAGATAAGAATTTCAGAAGCACAGCCTCAAATAGTTAAGCTTTAAACCTCACTGACTCTAAGCACCTGTGCTTCAGTGAAACAGCTGGCAAGAGGTTCAATTTTTCACACTGTGAGGCCGACAGGTTTTATTTCCTCTGAGGTGGGGTATAAAACTTGTAAGCCAACTGTGACAATTTTTGTGATAATGGACAATGTTGAACATTGGCTTGTACTGGGACTTCAACTCATGGCTCTTAATATCGCTAATAGCATGTGACAGTCTTTACTGCTGCTTTACTGTCCCCTTCCCAGATAAAGTAAAAATTGCCTGTTGACTTGCCACTTGATTAGACTTTCTGATGTTGCACTGTATTCCCCAGACTATTTAGCATTGTTTGTAATTGTATAATTGGAAATGAATACAGAAGGAGAGAATCCACTGAGTGACTTTTTTTTTAATATTTGTACTACCAGATTAATAAAATGTCTGATCTTTGCCTTTCAACAGAAAAGCGGCAAGATAATGGACGAGTCTATTTTGTTAATCATAATACACGGACAACTCAGTGGGAGGACCCGAGAACCCAAGGGTAAGCATAGCTAACATTTTAAAGTTTTGAAATAAGTGGACTTGATAATGAGATATCTCATTCTGGGGAAATCTGTTTCAATGGTATTTCATTTTCAAGAATTTTATTTCCACTGCAGCGAAGCATCCTGTCAGTCTGGCTATATCTACTTAAAACTTATATAAAATATAATATATATCAGTTGTTAAGATTTGCAGCATTTTATCTGATTGTACATTTGTAAATATATGAGCAGCATGCTAAACATTTTGATCGCAGTCACATTGAGAACAAATATTTTCTGGCATAATTAAATCATACTGTGAATTTGTCTTTTCTTTTCTCACTTTTTTGAGTTTTTCAATTTTTCCTATTTTTGAGGTAAAGTCATATTTATTTCAATTTTTCTCAGACTTTCACTCAGCCATATTTAATTTTGCAGTCTAGAATTGACGCAAAATATAAAAGAGGTTTAGTAGTTCATTGCATAAGAGTTCACCTGTGAATGCATTTTGATCTTTAAATTTGTTCAGTTCATGTTTATACTCTGTAGCTTTACTGATTCTGTACCTGCAACCAATGTTGTATAGAGTTAGTGCCAAGTACTTTAGGGCATGGAGCAAAAGAAACCAAATGGATAATCTTCACCAGGCTGAACCTGAGCACCTCCTGGCACATGGCTACAAGCAGCACTAAGCGTTTCTGAGAAACTGGTTACGTGTCCCATCTCTGACAGCCATAGAATGTGTGTGCACTGAGAGAGACTAATGAACAACAGAGTAACAGATATTAAAAATAAAATGTAAATTCTCATCCTATACCTTCTCTGAATATGCAAGGAACCTGGATTAATTGGAACCATTGCTAACTCAATAGATAATTGGACACATTTTTAACAAACATGCAGTTATAAATATTATTTATGAAATCAACTCGTCTACTTTACTAAGTCATGCAAAATGCATACATAAGTATTTTTTGCATTTTATTGTTAATCTGTGTCACTTCTGTTCCAATATACCACCGCTAATCTTCATAACATATAATGTTCATAACATACTTAATTTAGCATATGCTACATGTTTCTAATTATTTGCAGTAAATTCTGTGGGAATGAAATGGAGAATTTAATTGGCTGCTACACTGAATCTTGCGTTACTGCATCAGGAGAGTTTAGTTCGGTTCAGATCTGAATTATAGTTGACCACTCGTTTCTGGTTAAAATGGAAACTTTAGTATGTAACTGTAACATATATCAAAGACAAAAGTATAGAATATCCAAGTTAATCCTGAAAGAAGACAGGTTAACCATCCTTTGAGAATGTAGTAATAGAGATAGTAATCTGTGTTACACACATAGTCATGAATCCACTAATATATGTTTTTGGATTTTAGTGCATTTTAAGAACTATGAATAAACAACTTGAGTCTACATTTAGATTTACCACTGAATAAAAAGAAATAGTTTTGTGCTGCTTTAACATCATTGGTATATCTCAAAACTTCTTCACAGGCAGTAGACTAGTTTTGAAATTGAGGCACTGTTATACTCCATTTATAAATTTAATTTATTTCTTACAGTGGTTTCCTAAATGTAACATCACAAAGTGTTAACGTTAGTAAAAGTTTAACTTTCAGTTTAGTTGATGCAATCTATTTAACCATAGCACACATTTAAAAACTGAGTTCTCAAGGAATTTTATTTTGCCCCCAATGATAGTAACACTCATAAGCTTCTTACCTAAAGACCAGGGGATCAAGTATTGTGGATTTTTTTTGTTCTTTCATGTGACTGTTGCTGACCAGTTCAGCATTTGTTGCCCATCCCTAGCTGCCCTTGATTGGTTTTCTACACCATTTAAAGGGCAATTAAGAGACAACTACATTGCCGTGGTAACAAGCTGGTCACAATTGGCATCAGGAACCTGGTTTAGAAATAGATTTGGCCAGGATTTCTATCCTGACTGCTATCCTGTAGCGTTTCCTGGAAGTGCCTTATACAGCAGGTAGGAATGTGCCATTTTTGAATGGTTAAATCATGTGTCAGTTTTATGAATGAAGGCCAGAATTACTTACGGACCTATATGCAATCAGGGAGTCAATGCTTAGATCAGAAAGAGAGATATGAGGGCAATTGATGAGAAAAATGGTAATGCCAACACTGTATCAGGACATTAGTCTTAATAAATTGCTGTTTTTGTTTGCTAAACTAATATTGTCTCATCAAAAATGTTTGTTCTGTGATCACATAAGCGATTGCAAATCTAGTCACCAGCACTGTTTAGTTAATTATGTCAGTTATGTTGTATTAGTCATGACACTTGCTTTATTGTTCATCCATGACATTTTGTTTTATTAACCAAAGCACTACTAACTTTGCATAGAATTTTGCATAACTTAGAATCATAGAATCTCTACAGTGTGGTAGCAGGCCATTTGGCCCATTGAGTCCACACCACCCCTTCGAAGAGCATTCCACCCAAACCTATCCCTCCTACCCTATTCCTGTAACCCTGCATTTTCCATGGCTAATCCACCTAGTCAGCACTCTATGGGCAATTTAGCATGAACAATCCACCTAACCTGCAAATCTTTGGACTGTGGCAGGAAACTGGAGCACCCAGAGGAAACCCATGCAGACACAGGGAGAATGTTAAAACTCCACACAGACAGTTGCTCAAGGCTGGAATCGAACCCGGGTCTCTGGTGCTGTGAGTCAGCAGTACTAACAATGTCCCCCCCTCTTCTAATATAACTTCTAATATAGTTTACGCTGAGCTGACAGTTTTAATGAATGGATTGAATATCATGGTCAGTAACACAGTGATCGTGCTAATTGTTGATGTTGATTAAATCTGTACATGAACTTGCTGATCTCAGTGGCAGAAATTTCAATCACCTTTTAAGGTGGATTTCCTCCCAGCATTGACTGCATAGAAAATGACAGGTGACCGTGGTGCGTGGCTTACTCAATGCATCTCAAAAATAAAATGCTGCAGTAAAAAGACATTAGAAAGTTAGGTCCAGTAAATACGATTAAATTTTTGCATAGTTAAAAATTTAGACATTTTTGGAAATGTAAATATCTTGGATTGGATTTTGTGGTCAGTGGTGATGCAAGAGCACTTGCTTCTGACTAACGAAGTAAGTCTTGCTGTGAGGTGGAGTGAACTCTGTGGAAAGAATTTCAGCTGTGTGCAAAAGTAATGTAACTTATTGTAAAATCCTTATAGACCATTTATGATGTAGAGCAGCCAGTCATATTGTAGGATTTTCACATATGCCCAACTAAGAAACAAAAAGCACTGAAATAGAGTCTGTTATTTTTTTTTTAATTGAGAAAATTCAAGATTTGGCATAAATACAGGGTGAAGGTAGAACCTAAAGTATTCTAAAAACAAAACTTATCAAAAATTAGATGTTAGCTTAAAATATATTTTTATTTCAATAATAAAGACACTGCATGATTATTGCATTTATGTTTCTGTTCTGTTTATTAAATTTTATCAAACACAGCCCCGCTAAAAGCCCAGTAATCTCTGATTAAACAAGGTGTAACTTTTGCGGGAATTTCAAATGGTGACACAAGGTTGGGGAAGTGATCTCTAAGTACAATGATGACAGAATCTAGGGATATTGGGGCTCCGCTCAGGGATTCTGAGTGACAAATTGCAACTGCTGCAGTCAGTTTCCAAGGGGTAATGGGAGTGAATAATGACAGGCTTTTACCAAACTTCTTCACACCCCACAAAATTCACCCCACTTTTCAAAACTAAATTTTCAATATTTTTAACAAGGAATAAATTTTTGACAAATCTTGATCAGAATATGCATACTACGAAGCGCTCTTTTAAAAAAATCTAATAAACTATTTGAAAAGTAATGGATTTTATTCTTTAATAAGATTATTAAACTTTTAAAATGTTTAGTCTTTAAAGAAAAATGAATCCATATTAACCTTTATAAGATCCTTTTGTGCTTGAGTCTCGTTAAATATTGTGAATTGAGAGATGGATCCTTTTGACTGGAATTAACAAATGTAAAATGTAACATTTTGCTTTATTTTTTCCTGTATTTTTCCATCCGTTATTGCCCTTTGAGCGGTTTGCTAGATTGTTTCAGAGGACAGTTGAGAGTCAACCACATTGTTGTGGGCTGGCATCACATGTAGGTGATCAGATAAGGATAGCAGATTACCCAGTCTTCAACAAAGAACATTTGTAAGCCAGATTGGTTTTTGCTACAAATCATGATTGCTTTATGATCACCATTACCAAGACTAGCTATTGATGCCAAATTTAATGAATTAAATTGCAAATCCATCTACCACTGTGGAATTTAAACCATGATTCCAGATCATTAGCCTGGGCTTCTGGATTACTAGTCTAGTGATATTACCACCACATCACCAAACCCCCCACTTCCCCAATTAATTTGTAACTTGTAACATACATTTGCACTGTTTCTATACTTGCCATTTGACATAGTGGCCTTGGGTATGGCAATGGTCAACCCGATACAGCTGTCTCATTTGAGTGTGACGGTGTGCGTTCACTCTTGTAGTTGTGAAACCACCCAACATCCAGTCGCAGCAAATGCTGAAGACATCATCATTACTGTCACCGCAAAATCTGACCTGTTGCCTTTGGCAATGTTGTAAGTTCAGCAGAACAGGTTCTTCCTACAAGCATCTTGGTCCTTTGAAATTTATATTTCGCCTAAGAATATTGCATTCACTCTTCGACGTTCCAAACTATTCATGCATTGTATCCCAAAATTTTGTTTCTTGAAATAAATCGAAACAGTCTTTTATTGTTGTTGAATGAATCAATATATTCCGTTTCTGCTAGCTCCCTAGGGAACTGTTGCAACGATTAACCTGTTGCTCACTAAAATAGTGTTTCCTCAGATTTGTTTTGAATTTACTCTTCTTAAAATGTTCCTCAGAAAGAAAGGAAAGAATCAACCCAAGTTCACACACACTCTGGTGTCTATTTATTCAGTAGTGTTTGCTGAAAAAT